CACATATTTAGTAAATTTATATGCATAGCATGTCATAACAAGTGATACTTTAATTAATTTTTGTAATGTAAAACACCCCAAAGTTGGCACTATTAAATTAAATTAACAAAAGGGGGCACTTAACTATTGAAACTAAAGTACCTAAATTAATTTGATGCCCTAATTTTTATTTTTTATTTTTTTTTTAATAATAAAAACATAGTGATTGAGACACCTGTCAGCAAGTGGGGGTGGTTTGTGGGGTTTTGGCCTTTTAGATGAACTCTTTTGGAATTTTTTAGGAATTTGGAGGTTCAAATTTTGAGAATAAAAAATGTGTATGTGCTGCTGCTATTGAAATGTACGTAGTTAGGGGACCACTTGGGCGTGACAAATGCTTTTCATTGTAGGTTTCCAAATGAAGGGTTGATGAATGAACAAGATTTATTATTGAAATTGGATCTTGCATAATTTAGGTTACATTTAGTACAATTTGTTTTTAGTTTTGACTTATTATTTTTAGCATTTGTGAGGAATATTTTGAGCTTGTCATAGACATGTTAGGCATGTCATAGAATAATTTGGAATAAATAACATGATATGATTTTATATTTAACTTTCATGATTCATTTCGTATTTCATTTCATCATCATGTGTACAATGTGTGTACAAACATATTATTGTTTTCAGAAGCATATATACATCAATTTAACGAGATAAAACTTTATGTTTGATTTCGTTGGATGAACGATATTTTCATGTTTCATTTCGTTTTTCATCCCAATAAATGAATAAACGACACTTGAATAAACATATGAATACTTTACAATGGAAACTTTTATATTACCCATGAGTGTTGGCAATCAGACAATACAATTGTATCGTTGGATGAACGACATTTTCATGTTTCATTTCGTTTTTCTTCTCAACAAATGAATAAACAACACGCGTATAAACATATCAAGTATATGAGATCACCTATAAGAGTTTTAGCCATCAGATTAACACAATTGTATTGTCAGACCAACACATATCCGCACAAGTGTGTGTATGATCTGACGGCCAAAACTGCACTACTCGACAAAGAAAAAAAAAAAATTCAATGTCACCATACAAAAGAAAACGAAAGAAAATAAGTTGCAAAAATGTGAATTCTTTTAGCTATACCATTCCACCACGTGCTTCATATGAGCAAGTCGCTACATATTTGTAAAAAAATTGGATTTTTTTTGTAGAAACTTATGGTCAATTTCACTTATTTATGGTGAACAAAATTTATGGAAATGCTATCATCCCGTTACGGGATGGTTTCGTTGTCATTTGTAGCCGTAGGTATACATATAATCTAGTAATATGTATATAATCTACGGTTAAAAAAGACAACGATACCATTCATAATGAATGGGAGCATTCTCCCAAAATTTAACATCCCCGACAAAACATCACATTTTAGGTGCATTCCCACGTTCTTGGCATTAAATATAAAACGGACCATATAAATTGACATTCAATGTTTACTTGCCAAAATGAACCTACACCATTAATTTAAAAACAAATAAATCAATGAACACCACATACAAATTTTTCCCTCGTGATTTCGAAAAACAAGAATTGCTGTAATGTTGTTTATCAATCATCCCCCAAACACACTGCCCTCACATATATACTAACACTGATTATAACATATATAACCTCATGCAATAACTTCTTTTCATCGAAAAATCACACAAACGTTTGAAGAATCGCACTATAAACGACTATAAACAACTCCAAAATAAGATATGCAAATATTGGACTATAAACTAATGATAGCACTGAAACAATGCAAATCACAATGAGGCACCTTTTCATCTATGAAACTGAAATACTGAATTCATCTGCACTTATATGTGCATTGTGATGAAGAATAACATAACAAGTATATGATATTTCATAATGTAAGTGCATTTTTTTGGTTCAAAAAATATGATAGATCGACCCGTCTAACCATTAAGTTGTCTGACACAACAATTTGTCATGCACGATTTGATCCAAATGAATCCCACTGTGGCAAGTTTATACAAAGCATTATATCATTTGCAAAATTACAGCCAATCTTGCCATCACTAATTTAAGTTAACCGAAGAATAAAAGCACCATTTTAAGACAGCAAAAACTCCATTCTCTCTAAACTTTTTCTTTACCCTTTCTCAGTTTTTCGAGTTCGGTTTCAGCATCTTTGAGCTGCTCTCTTAGTGTCGATACCCTCAGCTCGAGCTCTTCAACTGTTCCTCGGGTAATCGATGGTTTATAAGGTGATAAAAAGTTGCAGGAAAATGCTTTCAAGGCATCAACCCCACAAACCTGTTAAAAAAGTGAATGATTTTGAGTTTGAAATGTAATGACTAAAGTTAATGTGATGTAAAAGTAGTAGAGAAATTATTGGAAATGATAATTAGTTAAAATTATGTGAGTGTGAATTAAAGTTGATGTATGTGTGTGAATGATTGATTGATGTGATTTAATTATATTAAAAAAAAAAAGTATGAGACTTGGGTTAAGTTGGATTTTGAGTTAGATGATTGGATATGAAATACTTCAAACCGGTTAAAAACGGTTATTAACTCATATCCAATCACGCCCTAAAGGAACAAACTAAGGTAGAACCAATCCATAAAATACCTCTTGAGGTAGCAAAGGCAGCTTAGTAATGTGAAAATCATCGTATAGCATGTAAAACTGATCCAAGTATTTTTGCTGCATTCGCATTCGAGCTTTGAGCAATCTTGATTGAACAACTGTATAGTCATAAAAAAAACCAAGCACCATGCAAGTATTACTCGTTTAGGAGTTAATTTGGTC